GCAGGATAAGCTTAACTGTAGAATTTTCCATGGGTATGACCACTGTGTTTAATTAGTGATAACTATACACCAGCCATGGAGTTTAAGTAACAGCATGCCAAGACTAACCAGAGTTAATTTTGGGAGCATTAAACCAAAAGGACTCAACCAAACCTTTAGAAGACTAGATTCTTTTTCTCTCTGTAACCAACTTCTTTGAAAAATAATTCCTTAATTATCCTATTTTTTATTTTAAAATGTATCCTTTAACAATATGACTGTTTTGACAAACATTGTAGAACTTGGCTATGCACATCTGTATGCAGCTTCCATGTGGACAGGATGTTCTTGTACTTCCTGTGTTGCTTTTCCTTTGGAAAACTATGTCTGCTAAGTTACCAAAAGTTCTGGTGTGTTAATCTGTGTACTGTGTATGCATATGTACTATCACATCAAAACTAGGTTGGATTTGGAAAGCCTCAGGTAATCAGCCAATTTGGTAAAGAGGCCACCATTAAAATACAGCTTTGCCTGTACACAATTGTGTTATCAGGGAATATTAAGTCTCCTATAACAACATTAATTACTTACAGATGGCTGCTGTTAACATTTTAATGGCCACAACTGCACTATGACGGTGGGTACATAAGACATTTTGAGGGGAGAAATGAAAAAAGGTATGTGGTAGGAATTGAGAGTGGCTATTTAACTGTAAAATTCAGAACTTATTTGTTAACTGTTACAAATAATTTTTTTTTTCTGTTAACACCAATTTATGCCTGATGTTCATTATTCAGCACTGGGGGCAGTGCTGCCAAAGTTTTCCAAAAGGAAGTCAAAGTAGAAAGTCCCTTCAGCTCGGGCCAGAAGAACATGCTAAGTGCACTGACCTCTGGTATATCAAAACATGCCCCTCTTTCTGCATTCAGCCAACCCCAATAGCCAAGAGAAAAGAAGAAAAAGCCCCTGCACAGAAGAAAAAAAAATCTGTTCCAGAGACCATGAAAGTGCATGGAAAGATGCCTAGTAATGTTAATGGATGTGTAACAGGCTCACCTTTCAGAGCTTGGTTTGAGTCCCAGGTTTGAGATCCTGCTGTTTGATTGGTGGAGCCCATCCACCAGTCAGGAGGCAGCAGGAGAAATAAAGCCATGCCCCTTTTCTGAGGGGCAGGGGAGAAGAGCTCCCCCAGACCTGACTGAAGACTGTAAACTGTCAGGTCTGGAAGACTTCAGGGTCAGAGCCCTGGAGCATATAAAAGGAGCTGCGTGCCCAGCATAAGGGACAGATGCAGCAAGGGATTCAAGAAGATTGAAGCCAAGAAAAGCTGGGGAGCTCTTCCTCAGCGGGCAATAGGCCCAAGGCTCCTGAAGCTGCCACTGGAGAAGCAGCCTTGGGAGTGGTGCGAAACTTCTCGGGCTGTTGATGGCTCACAGGGATGGTGCATGAAGACCCAGCCCTGGAAGCAGTGTGAGACTGCTCAGACCCATCAGTGCAGTTTTGTGCACAGAGCCCAGGCTTTGGGAGCTGCAAGCAGCAGCTTGAGCCTGCAACCCCAGCAGGGCCTTGGGGCCCACAGTGAGGCGGCTCAGGCCTCATCTCCCAGCAAGCAGCCAGGTCCCATGGTGCGCAGGGTTGTGCATGGGCCCAAGCCTTGGGAGCCAGGTTGCAGCGGAGGTTGTGCGGGTTAGCCACCTGGCGTGAGGATGGCTGGCCGGAGCCTGAAGGGCCCAGTCTCTGCTGAGACAGCCCTCAGTGCTGAGCCAGGGCATGGGGAAATAGTGTTGCAGCCTGAGGCTCAGCACCCAGGAGCCAGCAGCAATAGTGCAGCAGCTGAGAGGAGCTGAGCCCTTGGTGCCCAAAGCGGGGCTTAGGGTGGAGAGGAGCTCAGCAGTGCAGCAGAGGCCTGGAGAGGCGCTCCAGCAGAGGAAACCCCATTGAGCTGTGCCCTGACCACCACCACCTGAGGGAGCGTGAGTCATTGGGCCCTTGGGTCCCATAGGGGAAAGACATTTGGGGTGGGCAAACCCAGAGAAGGGGCTGGGTGAGCAGCGGGCCTAGTCAGGGCCCTAAGAGGAGGGGCCCCTGGTGCTTCCTGGACACCCCCCCCCCCCCCAAGGGACCCCATTGGAAGGAGGACTCTCTCTTGCCGTGGGTCAGGAACTATGTTAAGGAAATAGATGTTATTAAGATTGTTCATGTTTGCACCTTATATTTTGTGATTGAAATGTTGTATTGTGATGTTGTAAATAGTGTTATTTAGGGTTTGAGCTTGGTTATTGGTTAATGTTCACTGTAAATATATGCATATGATATTTAGTTTTATGTTTACGTATATTATAACTCAATAAATTGTATATAGTTAAGAACTTTGGGCTTGGGCTAACTCTATAAAGGAAAGAGGGAACTACTCGAAATTCTGGCATCCCTCTCACAGCACCCCCCTCCTGCCTACTCATCCCATCCTACTGAGAATAGGGCACACCCTTGGGTGTACCCCGGTTACATGTACCTGGATTACAGATGTTGGATCAGACCCCAAACACAGAGGGGTCATGATTTCTCTAGGAACTCTTCTATGTATTTGCACAAGTTTAGGCACAATCTTCCTTGAGATAAGCTGGTGTTTTAACTATGGCTGATACAACACTAGCAAAAACTATGCATGTTCTACATGTTCTGGCTGGTAGTTGCACTTTGCCTTTAATTTCATACTTATCCTAATTATTCCTTGTACAAATCACTAGGAAATCTTACATAACTTAAGACATTTGAGTCTTAATTTGTTTTTGTTGTAAACATAAATATAAACATTTTAAAATTCAGAATAGAATGTATTGTAAATGAAAAAAGTAGTCCTGAAAGAGTTGTATCACTTTCTGATCACTTCATTTTTTATCCACTCCATGGAGAAAAGCCTACTTTGCTTTTACAAACACTTTGCCTTCAACTCAGGGAAGCTCTCAAGTATACTGAATGGTGTGTTGCCTCATCCATCTCAGTCTTCAATTCACCTTCTTCTCATATAAAACTAACATTGTCCCACTATGAATTATGGCCTAAGAAATGTCACAGAAGAGAGTCAATCATCTCAATTCACCCTGTGAATTGAAATAGATGAATGACTACTAGTGGTGAAATTTAAGTTACTGAGCTTATCACACCAGTGATGTGTCACATTTGACACAACTCTGAATGTTTCTTTGCTTTTAAGTATGCAAAAATTACATTTAAAGCAAAATCACTTTTATTTTGAGATTCTTACACTTAGGATTGGGGCATCCTGGGTTCCAGTCCCTTCTACCATGCTTTTTTTTGGTTTTTAAGGACCCTGGCAGACTTTACATTTGTTGCCTATTATACGTGAGTATTGTGTGACAAATCATAACAGGCCAACTGGACATATGTTAAAACAATTGCAGAATATTTCCATGACTCAGAGAAGTTGCTGTTTCAATGAGCCACTTCTTTGTGGTTGAACTACCATTTTTATCTATAGATACACCATTTTAATGTTTGAATTCAATGATGTTAATGTAGTTCAGCATTTTTTGAACAGGTCTAACCCACAAGGTACCTTTGGGGATATAGGTGTCTTTCCAGGACCAATCTGGATTGCAATAGTTTTAGTGGGAGTTAGGCAGCTGGGTGAGCAAACAGGATTATATCTGAATAGCTGTAGGTCCTTAAGAAACTTTGTAATCCTAAATGGATATACCACCAGAATTTAGGCACTCAGGGTATGTGCTGATGTTGGCCACACCCAGTCTGCAATGACATGGTTTATATTAAGCTGTGTGATCACAGATTGGGGGTGGTGTATGCAGGGAGCTGCACTGGGAATCCACTGTAAGGAATTTCTGGCAGCAGGGGTTAATGGGTCCACAAGGAAGTTCAGTGTGTCTGTTGTGGAGGGGAAAGGGTTAGTGGGTCTCTGGGAGAGGTTTGGGAGCTAGCCCAGTTGGGGTGGGGGTGTTAGGAAAAGTTCAGCCCACAGGCTGGGTTGAGTAGCTGGGCTTTCCCAGCCTTGGGGCTGCACTCCAAACACATGCAAACACATTCAATAGATTGGGCTAACCCACTCCCAACCTAAGTTTACTTCCTTAGGTGAACTCATTTAGATTGACCCCACCCTTTTTTGCCCAATTTAACTTCCCCAAACCTCTATACAGATCAGCATTTAGATCAACCTAACACAAGTTAGGTCAATCTAAATATCACATTTACACATACCCTCATAGAGCGTGGTGGTTTGTGTGTCAGGGACAACTGGATCGCTCTAACTTCTTCCTACATCCTATTTAGGCAACTGCAAGACAAAACTGGATTAGACCTATTGACTCTAATCAGGTGAAGTCACCACATTGACTTTAGAGGGATTTAAACTCAAATTTAAAAATCAAGCACACGTTTAAGTGCTTTGCTGAGTAGGGATGAGCTCAAGACAATGCTTAAATGTGTTGCTGAACTGGGACTAGGGGTGGGAAAGGATGATGATGGGATAAAACCACAGGATAGAGTCAAGAGGTCCATGTTCAGCTGTCCATCCCATCTCTGCCACCACCCTCCTCTCTGACCTTTCTAAACCCTTTTCTGATGCCCACAAATCATCAGTTAAGGTCCTGGATTATAAAGTTTGATAACACTTACCTTAGCTTGCATAGCTGCAAATGTGATTTATGAGCATAAAAACTATCCGGTCATAAAAGGTGCCTCAATCTGTCCACACTGTTTGTTTTGATTAAGTCTGGCTACAAATTTTACAGGCTAACCATATATTCTATAGAAAGTAACATTTCCTCTAATTTGACAAAAATAGTGGCATTTTGAGAATTAAAAATTCCTTTTAATAGGCATTTTATTTCTTAATTTGTGTACGTATGGGAGACATTAACTCTATCCCTTCCATAGCCCCATACCCCTCACCCTAATCCAAAGATAGAGATATCAGATGCAAACATTTCTTAATTATTTCTCTGAAATAATCACAACTAATTTAATAACACAAAGAACTTACTCACTTTCAGTGCAAATAGGACAACATCCTTTTCTGTTCAGGATTTTACCCTAATTGAGAGAGAGAAACTGATTTAATGAAAGAGTCTTCAGAGCAATAATTGTTTCATGTTGTAAGCCTGGATAAGCCTTTGAAAATAGTTCAAGTTGTGTTTGAACTCAGTGCCCTGGCTACAGCTTCAAATATCAGGTGTTAAAAACAGACAGAACTATTCAAAAAGTTTCCTGGCTATTCTATAAGAAATAAAATACTAAAAGGGTTCTCTGTTTCCTTTCTCAGAGTAAAAGAGAATGTGGATTCATTCATTTGTGGGTATCTAAAGCAAAGCAGTTTTTCTGTATTATCAAGATTCCTAAATGCCTGCAGAACATATATACAGGAAATTTCGTATGAACACTTATGCCCCTTGAGCATCTTGTGGGAAATCCTACTAAAGAGAATCATTCATTCTGCTACAACTACAAATGGAAGTGCTCACTAGTATAAATCAAGTTGTTCAAATACCTTCTTTGGATAATCATTTTGATACCATTTACAAAAAAATTAAGCTAAAAATAGTGGACCAAATTCTCTGCTGGAGTAAAGGGGTGAAACTTCATGTATCTGCTGTTTATTCAGGTAAAGTGTTTTGTCTCATAACAGTAATATTGAGCAAAGGTTCAGATCTTCATTTAGCATTGTGCCCAGGCCTTTTTGTTTGTTCGTTTTATGTCCAAAATTAGTGCTGTGTGATTACATGTAAAAAGTGTGTATTCTTCTAGAACTTCTTTGAACTATAAAGTGGAACAATTAGCTCTGTTCCAATTCACTGAAACTCATCTTCAAACTGAGAATAAGCTTGGAAAATGTCAGTTTGGATGGTGCAGCTTTTTGAGTGATAACTGGGGTGAATTGCATTGAAACCTTGACCCAATAGTATAACTCACCCTGCTCACCCATACAGGCAAGCATGGTGTGTCCTTACTTCCCTGTGTTGGCTTTCAATGTTAACACATGGGTGGCAAAAGTAACCTTTCATGACCATTACACCTTTTTTCCCTGCAAGTAGATGTGGGCTTTCTCCCCACACAGTGCACCAGATAGTACAGAAGAGCTCATGCAGAGGAGAGAAGCAATCAGAAGTGAGGACATAGTTTGTGCAGATTACTGGTCTTTCATATGCAAATCCCAGTGCTAGGATTTGTACCAGTAAATATTTAATTAATGAGATGAATACCCACAGATTATTCTGGATATCCTCAATAAAAGAACTGAAATCATCAGCCAGGCTGGAAGTGGCAGGAATTCAAGTGAAATTGGAATCTGCAAGGCAGCCTTGCTAAGGCTGGTTACTTGAGCCACCATGTTGGCATGGGATCCTGTTTTTGTCTTGCAGAATAAGGAAGCCCATTATTGCTAACATGTGCTCCATGAGTTCGTTAGCATTGAGTGTTCCCTTAGGAATGGGATAAATGATGTGATCCCATTTTTCCCCATGAATATTTATAAGCAGACCATATTTGAGTCTGTTTATTTTCTAGGATTTTTCTTCTTCTTTATGAGGTTTTCAGTTTTATGTCTGAGGTTTTTATTATTCTAAGCAAGACTAATGGGGGGGGCTGTTTGGTTGTGCAATAGCAACAGCTGTTGTTTTTTTGTGCCTCATTTGGCACTGGAGTAAAAACAGCAACTTTTTGTTTGTAATAATAATAGATGTGTATTACACTAAATGCTGTCTGTGTTAGGGATGGCAGAATGTATTCTGAATAAATTTTAAACTCACTAGAAGTTCATAGGCTCAAAATTTACCCACAAAATCAAAATGAGCAGCTTCACATGCCATGAACTTAGCTCTATTAACTTTTGCATAGGAATGGCCCTCAAAGACAAGTTCATGCTTTCAAGTCTCTATGAGCTCTCATAATAGCAGTGAAAGAATATGTCCATAACCATATGGTACAAGCACAGGCTACCATTGCTATGATGTGAAACAGGGTACAAAACAACAGCAAGGTGTCCAAAAGGGGCATGTGAAGGGAAAAATTGGGCTTGGATGAATAAAGAGGAGAACTGGTAAGTACTGTATTTACTTCCCCCCTAAAACCAGGCCTCCAAACTTAGGGGGTGGTGTTTTAAGCAGGGAAGCTGATTTTCCTTTGCTGAAATAGAAGCAGGGTAGAATAGATCAAGCAAACATTGTGACTTATGGTTGCCGCTTCTCCCAGGGGCTGCAAACAGCAAGGAAAGAAAAGCTAGGTCTGGGGCCTAGCTTTGTTGCTGTCCTGCCACACTAGGTGGTTCTTGCTGCCTCACCCAGACTTGGATGCCACACTGCTTGGACACTCAGTGTTTCCAGAAAGACTTAATGTCACACAGTCAGCCATGATTCTGGAAAAATCGTGTTTTCTACATTCTGCCTTCTGTAAACAAGGGGTGTGTTTCATTTGGGGGGATGTGGTATGTGAGAATGTATGGCATATAGAGAATTAGAAGAGAAGGTGGTTAACGAATCTATAAAGGGACTGAATCCCTCCAGATGCTGTGCTTACCTCACTTCAGGACAGCACTTAAGCATGGGTTTAAGTATTTAAATAGGTCTGCTAACTTCAGCAAGACTTAACACATACAGAACCAAAAGACTCAGTATTCTGCAGAATGAAGCATAAGACAAGACAACAAGAGGGGAAATGCACCATGAATCAGTGATCACAAAGTGGAAATAAAAACCTTGAGACATAAGGCTCACTGGAACCTGAAGGAGGACTGATTTTGCTATCAGTGTTACAGAAGGGAATTGAGACAGATATATATTGCATTCATGTGCAGATGCAAAGAAACTCAAGCAGTATGCTTCCTGAAATTATCAGGAATAATAAAGGTTAGATCCTAAATGCAAGGGAGAAGGAAAAAAAGTATATAACCTTGGGAAAAAATGAAAGAAATGGCAGAAACAGTCTCTCAAAATATGGCAACCTGCCACCAGTTCAGGCAGTAAGACAAACAACTATATGGTATCAGAAAGTTCTGCTGCACTGCCAGCACAACGCCTGTTCTTCTTCATACAGAAAGATTTCACTGGCCTAGAGCTAGGTTGATGAATGATTCAATATTCTCTCACAAAAACCTTCATGAAGAGAATGTTAAGACTGAGTGATTAAGCACCTAAAAAAGTGAAGGGATGAAAATACAAGATTGCCTGTAAATCCTTAATTCTTTCACCCTTGCCTGTGTGCATTATAATACTCATTTTACTGAGATTATCCCTGGCAAAATTATGAAACCCTTACAGGCATAAAGCAGTGCTTGACGCCACAAAGAATCCCAGTTACCTGAGCCAATGGCAACTAAAGCACAGTACTATTCGGAGTGTGAAAGGAAATCACACTCTTGCTTATATCGTCTGTAGGTTCATACTCTATAATCCTGTGCATTTTTCCCTTCAGCCTAGCACATAATCTGCTCACAAACATTCAGCATCCACATCGGTAATAAAGCTATGCCTTGCATTATGTGAAGTGTTTTGGGCATATTGCTTTGTGACAGAATACCCTACCCTACTAAGGCTAGATCAGTAGCAAAACAGCTACGGTGAGTAGGGTATATACAGACGTGGGTTGATTTCTCCTCTCTTCCTTCTAATTGTTCTTCTCTAAAAGGAATAGATAGTATGAATAAATTAGGCATTTTTACCTTGGGATAACGTGTTGCTGAACGACTGGTATACATGAGGGGAAAGGGGAGTTGGAGCAGAGAAAAGTTATTGCTGAGTGAAAGATTCCATTTTGAGTCAAGAAGGGAGGCTGATGGGTCAGAAACTGTTAGAAACAAAGCTGTGGGCTGGCAAAACTGGTCAGCATCTTAGCTGTGGAGAGGTGACTCTTGCTTGTGAACTTATCTTGGGGGTTGGTTTCAAATAGCTCAGGAACTTGCTTTAGTCTAAGTCACTGGTTTTCAAACTTTTTGAGCTGAGCCCCACTTTGAGTTACAATTTGGTTTGTGCTCCCCCCCACCCCAACATGCATCCTAGAGGAGCAGTGCAACCAGGCACAGGTTGCTCCTCATCCTAGCGGCCGCCACAGCTCGCCTTGGCTTGGCTCAGCTCAGCTCGGTGGGTTCCACCCACTGTGGTTCAAGCTCCTCCTGCCTTGGCCCCGCTGCAGCTCTAGGCTGTGTGTCCAATGCACCAAGCTCCTGGAGGTGCAACAGCCTGCTGGCAGATCCTGCCCAGGGCTCCCCACCCCCGCAAACGCTCACAAGGCTGCAGCAGCACCAGCTCCTGGCAAACTTTTTGCCTGCACCCCCCTGCACTGCACCTCTCCCAAAATTCCCTCATGCCCCCCCAGGAGGGCACACCCCATGATTTGAAAACCGCTGGTCTAGGTGCACATCATAACCCAGAAACTCACACCATCTTGGACGCTTGCTGCTGCATAAGACCTTAGTTTAGCTTCTAGCCGTGGGACCTTACTCCATTCCCAAGAATCCCCCCAACTTAATCTAAACTGGGAGATCAGCCTCAGCTAGAACATGGAGCTGCTACAATTCAGCTAAGAATTGAAGTTAAAAGCCTTTTTGCCCTAAAGGAGATGAATAAAAAGGATGTTTATTTTTTATGAGGCTGTTAATGGTATTTGTAAATTAAACTGACATCCTTCCTAAGGGATCCTAACAGTGGAAATCTCTTACTGACTATTTTTAAGGGATGTTTAACTCCTTTTGCTCCCTTGTATTTTACTTTCTTATAACTCTGAAACCAAGCTAGAACAATGTTGAAAGAGCTTATTAGTAAGCCATGTGAGTCAGAGTTAAGGCTATTACTGCAACGTGAATTTTCATGTGTCATTCTTTCCACTAAAACACTCATGTGCAATAGTACCATATTTATTCAAATCTAAAATAAGGTGGTTTTTTTCCCACCACTCATTCAACATGTGGGGCGGGGAACCTCATCTTAGATTTGAGTAGCAGAGAAGGAGCTGCTCCCACTGATGCCACTGCCCGGCTAGGGCCAGGGTGGCTCAAGATATGTCATGTGGCAGGGAGACATAGGGGACACCATGCAGTGCATGGCCCTAGGGACATGCAGGACTGCATGGGAGTTGTGGGGGGAAGAGACACCATGGTGGTGGAGATCGTGTGGTGGTGAGGTAGGCACACAGGGGAGATTGCATGGTGTGGGGGTGGGGATAGAAGCACAGAGGAGGCTGCACAGAAACAGGGGAGCTAGAGCTGGAGCTGCTGCTGCCACTGCTGCCCAGCCAGGGCTGGGGCTGAAGGTAACATGTGCTCTGGGCAAGCAGCAGCAGAAGGGAAGGCAATACAGGAGACAGGCAATGCAGGGGCAGGTGCTAGAGGGGACAGGAGGCAAAGGGGTAGGCACCAGGAGGCAGACCTCCTGCCTCCCCACTATTGCTTTCCCCAGAACAGTGGTGGTAGGGAAAAGAATTTAAAGACAATCCTCCAATAGCGAGATTCTATACATAGAAAATTATAATTATTGGCGGGGGTCATCTTAAATTAGAAGTCACCTTGGGTTTTGGTAAATGTGGTACCTTCCTGGATAATAATACTTCTATGTGAATTACCTCAACTGACCATTTCCAGGAGCCTTAATGCTTAAGTTTATCAAGTCTAATGATGTCATAATGTATTTTGCATAAGGTGTCTTAAATTACATTTGCAGCTTGGACTCTATGAGGTCCTATAAGTTTCAATTGGATAAATGCAAGAAACTAGGGTTGGACATGCAATGCTTTCTATAGTGCCTAGGATTTTCAAAGTTCTCATAGACAAAAAGTAGGCAGATGGACCTACACAGATTTCCACAAACCTTAGTACTGGAAGGGACCTCTTAGGTCATCAGATCTACTCCCTAGCCTCTCATCTCTGTTTATTTCATGCAGAATGTTATGACTGGCACCCCATTACCATGGACCTCCTAATATTCCTACATGAAGAATTCCATTGGGCACATCTTCTAGGATGTGTGCAGCAGCAGAGTTCTGCGCTTGTGAAACGTAACATGTCTGGAACAGAAGGACTTGCCTTCTGTGAAACATCAGAGGAGTGAAGGAGAGACAGGAGAAAAATGACCCCTTCCACACCATTGCCCCAGCACAGAATTTAAGATGACTTCTACAGAGTTCCAAAGTGCCAATGGCACAGTGGCCTGCCTTTTGTAGAGTTTGTAACTCCAAAATCCAGGCTTCAGATTCTATTATCCTTCCAAAAGGTCACAAGTATAACATTTTACACACTGGAGTTTGTCATTTAAAATTTTATGCATAGGTATCTGTGTCTAATATTTTCTCCTTTTGGTTTCTACGACAGGGAAGGAAACACTGAGAAGGTGCAACAGTAATAACTTGGCTGTCTTTTTGGTAGTTTTGTTTTAAGATGTGTCTCAGTGTAAGTTGTTATTTAGTGCTCCCTCTCCTGAAAGATTGAGCTATTAAAAGTAAAGCTAATTTGCAAATGACAGGAGTCCAAGAAAAATCAGTCCAAAATTTTATATAATGCTTATTTTTAAAGGAACAGAAGACTACACTATTTTTCAGATTGACTTCAGAGTTTCACAAAAAGCAACCCTGTCTGCATCACTGGAGAAAATAGTACAGTTTTGATTGAGTTGTTTGTTTTGTTGTTTCGGTGTTTGTGATTCAATCTGATTTGCATTGAAAAAGTCAACACAACTTTTGCTGTACATCTCCATAATGCATACATGCTTGACCTTGAATTTCAGCAGCAATTGTCACACCAATAAGACTGATGAATACATGAGAGAGAGGCTCTGCTATAGAAATTTAGAAACACACATACACACACACCTATATATAGGTTATATCTATATACATATATATCTAGCTACATCTATCTCGATAGATAGATAGATAGATAGATAGATAGATAGATAGATAGATAAAGAACTGAAGATAGAGACAGGAAAGGACAGATGATGTTGAATTTGGAGAATTCTAATCTACCATTGATACTAGCGTTATTAAGCATTTTCTTCCAAAGTCTACCTGCCCAATTGCTACACTGGTTCTCCAGAGAGATATTGATAAAGATAAAACAGAGGGTAAAAAACCATGCTCTGGTTAAAACTCACGTGAGGACAGCTGTTGACTGGAATGCACTGCTTCTTGCGACACTCTGTCTTGCCTTTCATACAAGCACAGATGGTACAGTTAATGGAGGACCACATCTCTCCATCCTGCCACAGGAAGAACATGATATAGCCATCAGCTGGGGTGGCAGAAAAGAAGCCATTCCAACAATGTTTCATTTCACTGCACAGGAAAGCACTGCTTTCCCTGTTAGAGTTATGTCATTGTTTAGTCTAAATTATTACGAGGTGTCTGTCCGCACCCAGTTGGATTAAAAGACAAAGATCAGATTCAGCAGGGATTTCTTCACTTTGACCTTTCACTTTAGGAATTCATTCTTTTAAACCTGAGCAAAACATTTTTGCATTTTCTGTCAATGTGCTAATTAGTTGCATTGTTTTCTTCTCCGGTACATGTGAGATGTGATTGCACTTATCATGAATTTTAATTTCAGCTGACATAATTAGAAAATCTGATTCATTGGGATGATTGGCATGTTTAAATTGTTGCATGTGAAAGCATTTAATTAAGATGTCAGAATACAGTGAATTTATTCCCAGATGTGGCATCATTTTGGCTTAAGCTAGGAATGGATAAATAATGAATCCTAATTCAGATTACTTACAGTGCTTTAGCAGACACTTGATCTGCTAAACATCTGAAAATGTTTAAATGAGATATAGTGTTAAACTACCCAAATGCTTAGCAGGTAGGTTATTCTTCCAGAAGACAGTCTGTCTCTGAAAGTATTAAATGGACAGCAGAGTCCACTTCAGAACCTTGTTTCTAACTTAGGAAAGTTGGTTGGTGAACTGCCCTGGCTCAGTTCTACATGGCTTTGCATTTGGCAAATGTGGTTCTTAAAAGCATTCCACATCACCCACATACAGTCCTGTGCTAGGCCATTTAGAGGCTTGACATGCAAGCTTTCTGTTTACGGGACCACTGTGGAGGAAGGATGAGGCCAGAGCAGGCAGGAACATAGTAGAGGCAGTCCAAGAGGACTGAGTGCGATTATAGCTCCAGCTAAATTGGGAATGGTTCCTCAGCATGGTAATCAGAATGGAAGCAGATTCAAATCAAAAGAGCAAAACAGCTGGACTTATTCAGCCTGGCATGGTTTTTAAGGCTATACTGACTTTTCTATTGTTCCTGGTTATACAGCATTGGCTAGTTTTTCTGTTGCAACACAGTTCCATTTCTTGTAGCATCTGCTGACTGGTCCCCACACATTAGAATCACAGAATAATAGAAAATTAGGGTTAGGAGGGACTTCAGGAGGTCATTTAGTCCAACGTCCTGATCAAAGAAGGCCCATTCCCAACCATATCATCCAGCCAAAGCTTTGTCTATCCAGGTCTTAAATACTTCCAAGGATGGAGATTCCACCACCTCTCTGGGTAACCTGTGCCAGTGCTTTACTACACTCCTAGTGAGATAATTTTTTTCCTAATATCTAACCTAAACTTCTCTTGCTGCAACTTGAGATCGTTGCTTCTTGTTCTGTCATCTGCCACCACTGGGAACAGTCTAGCTCTACCCTTCAGGTAGTTGATGGCTGCTATTAAATCTGCCCTCAGTCTTCTCTTCTCCAGACTAAATAAGCCCAGCTCCCTCAGCCTGTTCTCAGAAGTCTTGTGCCCAGCCTTCTAACCATTTTCATTGCCCTCTGCTGGACTCTCTCCAATTTGTCTACATCCTTTCTGTAGGAGGGGGAAGGGGGCGCAAAACTGGACACAGTACTCCAGATGTAGCCTCACCAGTGCAGAATAGGGAGGAGATAATAATTTTCTATGATTTATGATTCTATGAGTATCTCTTCCGACACAGTGTAAAACTGCTTAAAAAAAAAACAAACAGGAACCTGGTAGTAGAGTTTTGTAGGAAATCCCTAGTGATCAGAAAATCTTGGGTTGGAGCAGAAGAGATCACTGTTATATGGCTTCCCAGTCCTGGGTGTTACAAGTGACTGTCCATAACATAGCTGTAAGATGTAACACAGCTGGAAGAGTAGCTTCCAGCTGAAAGCAGCTCAACGCAACTCCTACTGGCTCAGCCTGGGGGAGGCTCCCTTTTGGCTTAGCTGATAACTCTGCTGCCTACAGGCCACTGAAAATACCTTTTCCATGACTCTCAGAATTTGTTTGGGAAAGGGAAGCATATCTCTCTGATTAAAAATGTATTACTTGGCATGAAGCAGCAACCTGATTCTCTGTGTGGGGAGAGGGACACAGCATGCCAAGCATAGGAGGAACTCATCATAATTCTTTTTGTATCAGCGTAACCCATACACACTTAAAAAACCAAGAGCAGATGGTAAATTTTGCAAAGCTTTGCCTCCAAGCTGTTCTGTCAGCAATCAGCATCGTGTGGATTCTGTTAAAAAGCCAACCACAATACTAATTTATAGTAAGCCAGTGCTATTTCAGCTGATACAATGGTACCTTTCATTGAGCCACACTTGAAACATTACCTGGAATATCTTACTGCCGAACTTGCACACTTTCACTTCCTCAGGAGAGACATATGAGATGCACTCCTTGCAGCAGTGTTCCTTGTTCTTATTGCATTCTCCAGAAAGTGAGCACCTCCTTTTACACACCACTGTAGAATCCTAAATACAACAGAAAGACAGTAAAGAAAATGCTGATTTATTTGTTTGCTCTTTCTCCCATTACCCCTAGTGACATTTCTGTGAACATAGTAATCTTTTCACCTAAGGTACCTCACGAGTACTTTTGGCAAATCAGGTCAGGGAAAAAAAAAAATTATTGAATTAAGAGAATCCTTCACAATGTGTCAATTTAACTATGTAAGAGTTAGCTTGCATTTGTTTAGCCAGGCAAAATCCTACCATGTTGTTTTGTTAGCCATTGTAGTTATGGGCAAACAAACAAATTACAGGGAATTAACAGGGGGCAGGTTTTTAATCACAGATCCGTTGATGTATGCCAACTGTCCATCTGCCCATTCTGACCCTGTGGTAAGTGAAATCTAAATCCATAGGCTAGGAACAGAAATTACAAATAAACTGGTATCAGTGATCAGAAACCAGTTCAAATTTGTAACACAACAGAAGTTCAGTACATATAAACCACTTTCAAAATGGCTGAAAATGATTTAAGATAAATCTGGATAGTATGAGATTTAACTAATTTAGGTTAAATCAGTTTATTGAACTTCTGTCCTAGATCTCCTGTAGATTCAAGTTAGCTCAGTCCCCCAGTTTCTCATGATGCTTTGCACCTCCCCTGCAAATCCCCCCTCATGGGGTGGGTGGGCTAGCTTTGGCCCAAGCTGTCTGGTCCAGCCAGATGGCAGGTGTGCTCAAGTGCCCCCCAGCTTCCGGCCTAGGCCAGTGCAAGCATGTGGCTGCATTTCCAGAATCAAAAGTGAATGTCTGTTCAGTTGATTATCAGTTCAGTCTACACAACATAGACTAACCTGTGAAGATTTTATCTGTTCAGCCTTGGGCTCTTTGACTGTTTGTACTTAGTTCTGTTTTATTCAGGCATAAAGTTCTGCTGGCTTAACTTTCACTTATCGCAATGTAAGACTGTACTGACAGACAGTTACAGCAGAGCAACTGACAGATGGTAAGTCCCTGAACCTCTTAACTCACTGCAATTAGATTTTTTGAACACACTCTTGTTGTCCCTTTGCCTGGGTATAAATGATCTAGGTAGTACAGAGTCAGACCCTAGATTTTTCCAGTATTGCAAATACTAATTTAAAACTATAAAAGCAGTGTCACACATTGTTGTCTTACCTTGCAGGTACATGTTGTGCAGTTGTCATAAATGAATGAGGAGCCATTGTCATAAACATCACTGCGAAAGAGGCAGCTTCCAAACAAGAGGTCAAATACTTTCCTCTGGCCTTAATATAAATAACCATAAAGAAACAGAAAGAGAAAGAGAGAGAGAGAGAATGTAGTTGAAAGAGTATTATGCATTGTCAAAAATAGCAGGGTTTATTGTCACCAGACCAATTAATATGCAATGTGCCATTTCATGTGTGTTCCCATTTTGGTGTATAAAAATATGTTCTTTGACAGATCCCTATTCTTTTTGTGGAGTTTACTAAGATGAATATCTACTTTCCTTGTAAAGGAGGAAATTTTAATATGGCTTATGGCCTGCTAAATTAGAAAACTTTCCCCTTCACCACCACACAGAACATGGTATACCTAAATCAATTTTGAATTACCTAGTACACACCTCTAATAGGAAAACACTTAAAGTATTTAAACTACATTTGTGCTGGAAAATTGGCAAATAGCTCTATTAAGTTAAACTGGTTCAAGTGCAGTTTAAATTGGTTTAAGCTTATGCCAGCCAAATGAAATCAATCTAGTCTGTCTGATGCAAAAAAATTCTGTGCTGACCAGCCTCTGTGAAGATACATCATATATTCCTTTACTGTAGAAGATATGTCATATATTCCCTTCGGCATTGCCCTCAAACAGAGTTGCATAAGTTATAACCCTTTACCACATATGTCAAGTTAGCTCCCTTCTGATTAATATGGGTATCTCAAAATAAACAAAGGAAAGGAAACCAAGAGAGAAACTATATACTTTATGATCCATAAAAAATGTTCGATTCTCATGTTAGTAAAGGATAGGTTAGGGCAAAAAATAGTGTAGGCAGGATGCCCAAAGTTCTACAAGACCTTGCAAAATTCAGCAAGCAATGCTAAACCTCAGTTGTTAACTGCAACACATTATGTTATTCCATTAGGCAAAGAACAGAATACCAACAGAATGAACTGCACCCTTTTGAGGTTTATAAACTGAGCATCATGAATTCTGGTTGCACGTAGGTCTTTCAGGTAATACTATAAAAACCATACAGCGTCCTTGTCCTGCCTCCCTTCCCTGGTGCCACATTTGGTTGTATCTAGCTACCCCAGAAATGACTGTATTTCATGGGCATTTTGTATATACCTGCAAGTATATGTTAATTTGATATATAATGCTCTTTGTAAAAGGAAATTAGTGTTACTGTTGTTTTCATTTATTGAAGAGTATTTTATTAAATAAAATCTATACTTAAAAAAAAAAAAAAAAAAAAATCAGAAAGAGATGGATATTTGATTAGGAATAGCAGCATGGAAAGATATGGGGAGTTGGGAGGATGAAAGAGCCAAAATAGAAGCTCAGTGTATGAACTGTTTTCAATTCCATTCCTTTACCATACTATGCTCTGAGGGTGCTGTGGTTTCATGACCCGGGCAGGTATTTATTTATAAGTTTTCCCGACTCTGAAAAAGTTACAGGCAGTCAAAAAAAAGTTAAATGTTGTTAGAGAATGAAGTCTTCTATAGCTGGATGTCCCCAAACCCATGGCTCTCTCTGCCTCTGCACTAATCCAGCCCTAGAGAGAGACACAAGATGCTAGTAAGGGATTATGTTGGACACAACAAAATTGGGCCTCTCACTCAGGTAATTCAGCATCAGCTCTGTTCTGCCTTCAGCACCTGACAGACTCCCTTCATGGTGGGCTCTCACTATTCTATGTTTCTGACACAGTGAAGTTACATGTTACATTTAGGCTGTACTAAATGTGTAGAACGTTAAGTGGTGTTAAAGTTAGAACATGCTGTGGGCAGTCACATGTTAAGGGTTAATACTGCTTCTTTCCTGCACAACTCTGACTTGCCAATAGAGAGCTAGTAATCAGGGGCATAGCTAGGACACCTGAGCTCTATCCCTACTTGGACAGAGGGGGGGAGACAATTGGATAGGGGGAGATGGAAGCAGTGTATCCTGGGATGTTGGAGGACTGCAAATAACTCTTCTTACTTCCATGGAGCAGACTGAAGTTACCCTAACACAAAATAAGTAACAGCCCTGACTTAACCCTCACCTGAAGTAGCATAATTTTGAGATGCTCAGAGGGCACTTAGCATGAGATAAAGAAGTTTAATATGCGGACGCTCATATTTAAGTGCCCTTACTGTGGTCCAAGTGTAATGTGTAACTTGACTCACACACATTCAGGATAGTTTAATTAAAGAATAGTAGTAGTGGTATGAGCAAAATAAGAAGAAGACAAAGTTGTTGTCTTCTTCAGTGTTTGGAATGATTAGGAAAAGCTGGCCTTCCCAAAAGGTCTTACTCCCTCAGCTTCACATAGGTTTGTTAGGACACATTGGGCACATCTACACATTGCCATATGGCAATCTTGCTATGGTGCCATGGTTTAGTACTTCCCTTTGGAAGTACTAAAGCATGGTACAGTACAGGTGGTTATTGCGCTGTGCATGCAGCACACAGTTAGATTTTGCTACTACGCCGCTGTAGTGGCATGCTAAACCAGGGGAGCACGCCGCTACACTGACTTGGCTGCTGATCATGTGTAAACCCACATGATTCCTACATTACCATAGCATGCCATACAGCAACATGCAGATATTCCCACTGAAAGCCTCTCTTCTAGAACCTGCTGCTCTTCCTTTCAAATTTGACCTGAGTTGTTACCCAGAGTACATGACCTGCAAAGCCCCAGGGCATACATCCTCTGGAAATGAACAAACTTCTGGTATCAGATGTTGTGCCATCATCAATCCTGAAAGTTTTATTGACACTGGAAGGAAGACAACTTTTATCACACCATGAACCTGAAGATTATAGTGCAACTACTAGACCAAAAGTAGGGGTTAGCCAAACTCCACTTTTAACTATAGCGGGTGTCTGATATTAACAGCAGATACTCCATACAATAATATATGAAGGGTAATCATTACTAGTTCAGTTCCACTAATTTGTAATTTGACCCGTATTCCTCACATGTAGATAACTGACTAAATGTATTCTTCCTGGTACAAACTGGGTTCCTAAGAAATTCATCTGAAGGCAGGTAATCCTTACTATTTATATCAGATAATATTTTGGAGAAGGCACCATTTAGATACATGTTTGGAGGGTTTTTGAATTAGATGATATCTGAAACCTACTGATGAGCTATCCATCTTAGATTACAATGCCACTCTAAGCCGTCAACAATCACACAAATTCATGCATCTTTCTCCTTTCTGATAACAACTGTTAAAAGTGATGTTTCAGCTGAGGGTTCTCCTTCTACGTGTATTTCTTCAAAGTCAAGAATGGGAAAACCTGCTTGAATAAAATATCCAAAGGTAAAAATCCTTCATGGATTCATGAATGTCAACAAGCAACCTTCTCCAAACTCAGCCTGCTTTGCAAAGCATCTGTAATAAGGGTGGAAAATATATTTTTGTCAGTCTATGACAACCAAGGTCTTTGAACTCCATCATTCTTCCTGAATTTTGTCCTTTGTACCATGCTTCCTTCAAAACACTACCATGTCTATAGTTGCCACCTCCTGATACAGCAGATTGTAGTTTTCATCCAACTTCCCTAGTATTTGATTTAATGAGTTACAATTAGCTAGGAATTTGTACAACAGGTGTTGTGCAAAAACAAATTGTGTTACATATAATATTCCTATGAAAATAAGCACTCACCTACACATTTGGGGCAACATTGTCCAGAAGGAATGTGACTGAGGTGCTGGGGACATGACAGAATAGGACAGACTTCTTGTATGCACTGTGTCCTGCCTCCCTAAGGGAAGATAGGCTTAATTAAATTAGGGGGAAAAAAAACCATGCGCGCGCGCACACACACACACACACACCACAGAGGAATGCATATATTGGTGACGAGTCTTAAAGAAGACTTAGCTGAAGCAATATTTACACACATATACTTGTATCGATATCTGGCATACAGGGACTAATGCCAGGTACATTCAGCACTTTTTATATCCTTTGCATAATCTTGGAATATATTAAAATTTTTCATTCTAAAAAGAAATAAATGTTGTAACTGTTCAGTGAGACTTTCTCTTCTAACTGGTACCTGAATATGAACACAGAAAAACAGATTGAATGCATTATCTATGAAGTTTTTTTTGAACTTCAAGAAAAAGTGAATGATTCTTTTCCCATTATTTTCCACTTCTGATGCTCTTGTTACTCAGGTTTTGTTTGGAACAGAGAGTATTGTGCTAAAGAAAGATGGAAATGGGTTTTCTCCCCTTATTTTTATTATTTCAGAAGCCCAAAGTAGGCAGAAATCAGTAAGACAGCCAATCCTTGAGAAAACCTAAATCCAACCCTACAAATGAAGAACTCTTTTGAAGAACAAAAGAAATCTGCCTTGTTCAAAAGACAAATAACTAATAGCGACTAGGAGAGAGAAAGAGAAGAAAGAACAGAAGCAAGCTGATAAGGGTGCATTCAGAAGGATTCAGGACAAGAGAAAATGAGGGAAAAGTCAAAATAAAAGACAAAAGGTTGGAGAAACCAATAGCAGATTATCAAAAGTTAAAAGTGAAGTAGATTTTGGATAAGGGGAGATTGAAAACAAAAGAAAAGGAGCTGA